AGGGGGGATGGTCACGCCGCAATCCCTTCTCCTCTGTTCTCCTCTCGGGATCTTGGGCATGCACGCACACGTGCCCGGCGTGAGTTTTAAGCCACCGGGTCTGGGACGCGAACTGCGGTCGACTACGTGGGAGTCCAGAGACATAGCCATTACGCTAACTGCTGGTTCCCTGCATAACCCAGATTCTGACAGGATAAGAAATGGAAAATGGATTGGTGTGACCACACCCTATTGGGAGGTGCTTTCTTCCTCCTACCCAGTCTTTTTGTCTCTCTCTGGTGATCACATGTTTTATTTGCCCTCTGGCACATTAAAAACTTAAAAAAAAAAATAACCAAAAGAGTTTTAGGGACTTGGGGTTCTATATTTGGCTTTTCTTTTAAGGTCTAGCAACATGACCAGTGAAAATACTTTACCCTCTTAACTTTTTAGAGATTAGGGAGGTTTATACACACAGACAATGAACCCAACAGTGTGTTCATATCATGACCATCTTCAGCTGGTCTTGTACCTAGCCATGTTTAGGGAGGTCTCTGGAAACAGCCTGAAACTTTTCCATGTGGCTCAACCTCCTTGTGTTACCACTATACCACCATCCTGCCCTGGGGGAATTTTTTTTTTAAAAAAGAATTATTCCATCTATTACCATTCTTTTTAAAATTTGATCAGAGAGAGATAAAGGGAGAAAGGGAGAAGGCAAGCTGCCAGGTCTGGGACTCAAACTGTGGTTGGCCATGTGGGAATCCAGTGCCTTTGACCACCATGCCACCTGCTGGTCTCAGCCTGGGGGAATTTTTATATGTTTAAGACAATTTCTATTTAGAAGCATGAAGTGTATGTGTGCCTGAAATTGGACTAAGATGGATATTGGAATCTTTATTTTTTTCCTTCTTACAGTTGTTTCTAAACTAAAGGACTGTATTTTTCCATATGCTTTCAAAGAACTTGTTGAGAAAAAGGTAAAGAACTCGTTGTTTATTCCTTTTAAATTAGAAGCTTTTATTTGTTCGGAAAGAGAAAAAGGAGAATGGTATAGACTGGAAGAAACAGGCTAGTTTATATATTTTTAGATCTATTCTTGCTAGCTTGGACTGAGGCATTAGCCCATTAAAGAAGTATTAGAGATATGTAATGGGAAGCATTAGTTAACAATGTTTAAATGTCTCATCACCTGGAAACAGTGGAATCTACACTGTATTTGGTAGATGGAAGGCTCAAACTCTCCTTCAGATATCTTAATTGGAAGCCCTTCCAAAATGCATGGTCATATGCTTACAGTTTTGCAGAAATGAAGCCCTTTCCTGAATTGAGAGAAGCCCAGTGAAGTTGGGAAGATTTGTCTCTTAAATACCATGTATTGGCAGGGGTGGTGTGGGCTAGCATGTATGGGCAGGGTTGAGGTGGCTTAGCCACAATTGATCAGTGATCCCTCAGCTCCCGATATGTCCCATGAAGAAGTTTTCATAGGTCCTTAATAAAATGGGAGGGGAGAGGGGAGGGAATAGTAAAATACAGTGCATTTTTCACACAGATAAAATGTATTCCATCTAAAGAATTTCTTAGATAATTTTTGTTTCTCTTATGAAATTACGGCGATACTAAATTTATGTTTGTTTTGTTTTTGAAATGTCTTCTGTCAACAAAATTAAGAGTTAGAAGGAAGCCTCGTCAGGTTCTGCTTATTTTCAATTGGCTTCAGGAGTCAAGTAGTCGGAGGCTACATTTGGATTACGCTATTATTTCTGAAGTGCTCTCAATTACCTAGCTAAGTAAAATGACCTAGGAAGATTTCATGAGAGTCAACACGACATTGTTTTTTACCGAGCTAGTTGTAGAAAACATATGACTATCAACTTCAATTTTAAGAGAGTATAAATAAGAGTGACTCTTTTGAATACCTGATTTATATTCAGCAATCCAAGTGGAAGTCTTTTGTGTGAAGATAGATTTTATTAATACTTAAAACACTTGTAATTCTAAAATTGTTTGTTTTTCATCTAGTTTCTTATTTATCAATTCTTATACTACTATTTGAGATTACTTGTTACAGTCCTTGGGATTTCTTTGCATGGTAAATACATAAACAGTGAATTCTACCAGGGATTATATAGGAAAGTAAGTGATGTTTTTGATAGATCCTCTGATTCATATGCTCTAAAATGTGTCCAGATGCACAAGCATGTCCCTGTGGAGGGACATTTCTGCACTTGATGTTGCTCAGCACTTAAAATTTTGCTTTATTCACATGCTTATTACTAGAATGAGCTCCTCAGAGACTTTGTGCAATTATTACTGCAAAACCTAGAATCAGGAATCGCATTGCTGCATTTAGTTTGGAAATGGATGGTTTCTTTTAACCCTAAAAAGTCTTACTCTGATTGAATAAGAAGCCAAGCTACTCGAGAGTGAAGAGTCAATGACTGATGTGTTTTTATCAAACAGAACGTGAAGGTTGAGGTTGCTGCAACAGAAAGAACACTGCTAGGATTTTTCCTTGCAAAAGTTCACAAAATTGACCCTGACGTCATTGTGGTGAGTAGATAGATGTTTGATCATGTGGGGCGGAAGTTCTTTATTCCTTAGTTCTTTGCAGGTTGACTCTTTGGGTACTTCAGAGCAGCAGAGAATCTTTTCAGAGTGAAGTGACCTCGTGGACTGGTGGGGAGTTGCTATACTTTAGATAATAGACCTGGGGAACATCTTAGCCCATCATTGCAAGATAGTTTGTTTTCTTCTAATGTGATCCATGAATTGTTGGTTTGGGATACTCCAGTTATTTACACTTTGAGACCACCACATCAGTAAGTACATGTGTGTAAACTGTTAGTATCTCCAGAAGTTTGGCTTAGTGGTCCAGTATACTGGTCCAGGGAGTTAATTAATTCACTTGGTTTGGTATAAATCATAAAACTATTTTAAGAACTCAGTGGATCTCTTTGACATCTTCTGTTGAGAACTCAGAGCTAGGCATTTTTTTTTCTCTTGATGGCCTGCTGTATTCCCCCTAGTCAGGGAGAGTTAATAACTCATTGACTTGTTTTTACTCCAGTTTCTAAGAGTCACAAAGCAATCTTTTGCTTTATACATGTTCTAGCTTTCCTTAGTTTGTAGGTTTCTTGATAGGAATCCCTCCTTCTGTCTTTTATTCTGGGTTAATGGAGCAATCACATTATATTGTGTTTAAGAAAGAGAGGCTATAAATGCTTTTAAGTGTGATATCAGTAATTTGGTTACATCCAAGCCTTGCAAAATGCCATATCCTTCTCCACGTTCTCTTGGATACCTTCTCTGGCAATGGTATAGTTAACACCCTGAGTGCCGTACTGGTGTCTTGTACACGTCTCCCTTGTGATATTTTAGGTCCCATCTTTAAAGCTCCAAGATTTTTTTCTTAGTGCTGCATCATGATGCTCTGGTTCAGCACTAGGCCCTCATCCAGCCTCCAATAACAGTGTCTCGGACCCCAAGGGGATGTTGCAGAGCCTAGGATACCTGGCCTGGCTTAAGGTGTCAGGGCCAGGTCTGTGCGTGAGAAATTTAGTCATTTGTTAGAATCCTGACCTAGATTTGGGGCCTTGATACCAGGCATGGTAATTTGAAAATGAGACTTGCTCATGTCCTTTGCATCTTGGATATTTTTAGCTAAAAGACAAAACCACCATAAATATATAGTGGGTGTGTTTGTGTGTGGATATAGTAGTAAAATACATAGAGTATGAAATTAATCATCTGGGCCATTTTAAAGTGGTCTTGGGTCATTCATAACCTTAAACAACCACAAACACCCACCTCCCCCATCCATTTCCTGAACCATTTTCAGCTTGTAAAACTGAAACCCCTGGGCCCATTAAATGATAACTCCCCGTTCTCCCAGCCCCTGGTAACACTATTCTACTTTTTGTCTCCATGATTTTGACTACCCTAAGTAGTAGTAGTATATATTTTCAATTAAAATGAATAACATTTCATTCTGTTTATTGATCTGTATTTTTGTAAAAACAAAATCTAATTTTTAATAAGCATAGACACGTGAACCATGTTATTTGTATGTTAGCAATTGGAAATGATCCTTAACTGAAAATCTGATTGCATTTAAAAATATTTTCTATTCTATATTGTTTTGTTCCCTTGTTTTTAACAAGTTTCTTGTTTAAACTATTGAGTGGTATTCTACATTGGTCTACATCAGTAGTGTTTGAAGAAATTAGATCAGATCCTCCGTTTTCTAAGAAGTCTTTTGTAAACTGTCATACAGTGCAGGCAGGTTCTCTGTTTTTGAGTAAGCCAAATGAAATCATTTAATACAGCTTTTACTGATCATTTAAAAGTATAGGACATTAAAATTTGCATTCGCTTCTGAGACTGTGAGGCATGAGTTGCAAATTAAAAGACATCCTATGAACCTTGCATCAATTAGGATGAAATAAAGTTTATTCCAGCAATCTGCTTAGCAGCGTTGTTAATGTCAAGGCTAATGAATGCTGCTGATGAATAAATTCCTGGAGAAGAAGGGACCCCCAATCGGAGGTAAGCTCATGATGTCTTCAATTAGAGACCAGAGAAAGAAAGGGCAAAGAAATTCTGTATATATGAAGATAAATCCTCTAATTTGTGTTCGTTATAATTTTATTGGCTGCCTTCTTTTCCTGACTAGGGTCATAATATTTATGGGTTTGAACTGGAATTGCTACTGCAGAGAATTAATGTGTGCAAAGTTCCTCACTGGTCCAAGATAGGTCGACTGAAGCGATCCAACATGCCAAAACTTGGGGTAATAATAATTTTCTAAATCTTGCTTCTTTATTTGGCTTTTTAATATGGAATAGCTACCGTGAACACTGTGCTTTTGTGAATAGGAATTGGTTATCTTCTGATAGGGACTTCAGTGCATTTTAACTTTGGCACTGAATGTCTTTTCCTTTGAATCTAGCATTTAATTGTCAAAAAGCCACTTTTTAGGATTTTGTCATGTTGTGGTGGGTTTACAGAGAGAGAAAGAGAGACAGAGAGAGGGAAAGTGAGACATCTTGCCCCAAGGGGTACATCCATGATGCATTCCCTTCTCCTCCATTCTTTCTTGGAATTTTGGGCACACACACACACACACACACACACACACACACACATATGCATGCACACACATCACATGTGCCTGGTGTGATTTTCAAACCACTGGGTTGGGACTCGAACTGCAGTGTGGGAGTCTGTTGCCTTAACCACCATGCCACTTGCTGGCCCCATGCCACTGATATTTTAAAAAATCAGCTATTAGATTATTCATATACCTATTGGCCATTTCTATGCTTTCTTCTGAAAAATATCTATCCAAGTCCTTTGTACTTTTCCCTTGCAGTTACTGGTTTTCTGAAGGGTAGGTTTTTTATTTGTTTTGAATATTAACTTTTTATGTAATATATTACCAATATGTCAAAAAAAATCAGCTTTTAGAGCCTAGGAATAGTGAATAAAGAAAGCACTTTAATATCACCTCCACTTCAGCATTACCAAAGCGATAGCCCTTAGGGAAGGAATGCAGGCTTCCGAAATCAGAAATCATTGTTATCATTCGGGGGAAAGATGGGAAGAAAGTGGAAAGGAGCTAGCATTGAATGCGTAAGAAGGCAAGGGGCTAAGTGGACTCTGTGTCAGTTGGCTCTCACAGCAACTCTGTTTTTGTTTTTATATTTATGTTTGTGTGTTTGCATGTATACTAGAGGGTGTGCATGCGTGCATGCTTGGGAGAGGAAGAGGACACCCCTCAGTGAAGCCTGGTCATACTGCAATCCTTTTCCCTCGAATTCTATATCCTTTCAGATTTCTGGGCACATGTGCATTCACCTGGCATGTTTTTCAAGCCATTGGGGATGGGACTTGAATTCTGGTTGGCCATGTCGGATCCAGCTTCCTCTGCAGTGTTTAACTGCTGTGCTGTGAGGTTGACCCCCTAATTTTATTTTATAAGTATTCGCATATGGTAACCTCATGTTCAAGGTCACATATCTAGTAAGAGAAAGAACTGAGATTGGAACCCAGGCCCATCTGACTCTTAAAACCCATGTACTTTTCATTCTGCATGCATGCTTCATGTATGGAGGTTTCGGTGACTTGTGTATTAAGCACCCTCTTTCTGAATCTGATAATGCTCAGTGCATGAAATTGTCACTTGAAGCTTATATATCAAATGGGCACGTTGTTTCATCAGAGAATTTAGGAATCTGTCCCCTTCATAAAACTCTTCAGAGGATTCTGCTGCTGCAGATCAGAGTTGGGGCCCCTGCTCTTGCTTCTTTTCCTCTTCGTATCTTTTAGGCGGTAGAGTCGTTATTAACACTTCATCCAAACACCTGTTTTCCTAACTGTGTACCCCTTCAAGATTTTCTTTATATAGCATCTTAGTGGGGTCTACCCCAACTACGCTGTTCACAATGCTTATCTGCCTCACTTTGCTCGACTGTTCTCCTTTTCCATATACTAATTACCTCCTAAAGCTGTAATATCTTAGGTGTGATACCTGTTTTTGTTATATACCTCAGATAAGGTCAGGGATCTTTCCTGTTTTATTCCCTGCTACATCCCATGTGGCTGCCTACCTTGTCAGATACATAGTAAATGTTCAGCAGTGTGGTAGATGAATGAAAGATGGTCTC